CCCCCCCCTTATCCCTCTCCCTCAATCTCTCTCTTACACACTCAAACACACACACACACACACACACACACACACACACACACACTCACACACACACAAGCACTTACATCTCCTCAAAGTTTCTCCCTCGAATTACCCCTCACACGCTTTCTTCCTCCCTCTGTTTTTATCCTTATACAATGTCTAGCTTTATACAATGTCTTGCTTGCGTTGTCTAGCAGAATACGAGTGGAGCGGTCTATTATTCTCTGGACCAACTTATCCAACGCAGCTGTTATGTCACTTTGGATTGGCTGGAGGGAAAGGCCAAAGCCTCAGGGCTAAGGGCAGACGACAGAAACAATAGTTGTGGTAGGAACTTGCTCTGTATTTCAGGACGAGTGAAGGCAATGGCTTGCACATTACGCCAGGAACCGAGTTCAATAATACCCGGAGTAAGTTTAGTCCTGAAAAGAAACCCAAAGAGAAAAACGACACAAACCCAACAACCCCCCCCCACCCCACCCCGCGCGCCTTTTTCACCCACCCAGGGCAGAGCTACTTGCTGAAGTGTCTTTGGGTCATTCCCAAAGGGGGGATATTAACATGTTCTTATGCACAGTAGAATTGTAAAGGGGCTGATTTATCATTGCCATGTTCATGCTGTGCCGGAACAACATAGGGGGAACTTCTGCTTTTTCTTTTCTCATCCTTACTATCGCCATTTTCCCTCTACTTCTTTTGTATAATTGTCACTCTCTTGTGAACTGTTATTTTCGGGGTACCTTGATAGTCGAAGCGGACTTTGTGCTATTGAGACTAGAGATGTGAGCAGAGTAAGCCTGATTCCCTGTTAGGACTTCTCTGTTGACATCCAACCTTGGCACTCATATGACCTTATGCAATTGCGAGTGTCGTAAAACCTTACTAAAACTAAACTTTAAAAAAACATACACACAAAAAAAAACACACCCAAACAATCAACCACCTGCGAACTACAGAGTGGTTGGTCGAGATTCATAATTATCATACACAGATATTGGGGCAAAGGTCAATTTTAATCTCTCATTTGGAACTTACCTGACCTTGTACGCACATCTGGGATCGCCATTTTCTGTGGGGCCCGTGGAGCTTAAAACAAACAGTGTAACCTCCTTGGTGGAGCCACTTTTGGGTCGCATGATGCCATGACTCATGATGCACGAAAGACGCTTTTAACTCATTTTAAGAATGGGGTGGGGAGGGGTGGGGA